GTTACTTGGTTTTCCTTGTGTGAATTGTCAGGATATTTTCAGATTTCAGCTATTTATTTTGTGTTTTTTTAAGAAGTAAGAAATTCATTACATGTTGAATAACAATAAGAGTGCTTAGCTGTGAAGATTTTGAAAGAAATAGCAGTGATTTCTGATTAGTTCAGCTCTAGCATAGAGACCACAAGTGTTATAAAACTATCAATACAAAGGTTAAAATAAACTCTTATATGTTGTTATGTTTGGCAACTATCTGATTTCTTATTAAATCATAGTCACATTTCTTAACCCACAATTTCATCTTAATGTGTGGGTGCCAGCTTGTAGTTCATGTGTTAGATTCATACCTGCTTTATTTGTGTTCCTCTGAAAGACCTGCAAATGGATGAAAGAGCAGGAGATCCTAATGGTTTTGTTTTCCATCTCCATACATTAGAAGTCCTGCATAGGTACTGGCAGAAATATTGTCTCCTGCCATTAATCTATGCTATATTTTGGTTATCAACAGTTATTAAATTGGGAGGGTTTTTTATGTAAAGGGAAGCTTCAGCAGTGTTCATTGGTCTTTTTTTTTTTAAGCATAGCTCATGCAGAGCACAGCATTTTCCAGTAGATGAAGATTGTTGAGCATCACAAGGAGATCACATGCTGCTTCCGAGAGCCTTTTTCCCCTCCCTGGAGGAAGCCTCTCCAGAATGTGACTCTGCACAGTCATGCCCAGGCAGCCTGTGCTGTGTGGGTGGCTTGTGCTTGCTCAGGCCAGTTATGACAATGATGATTTGGGAAAGGAAACTTCTGGGGCTTCAAGTGAGTAAGAAGTTTCACTAGTAGTAAAAAAAAAGTCACAAAACACGCTCATTTCTACGGATGATTTTGTTTTAAGTGAAACAAATGATTTTGAAACACTGTTTTCAGTGTTGAATCTTTGCATTTTAATTTGTATGGGTGTGTTTTCTAAAACTGAAGGTTTCTGATACTACTTTCTATGCTCTCTCTCAAGATTACTGAGAAAAAGATTATGTACAATTAGCTGCATTCATTTAAAATGTGCAGTTTGATATTTAAATGTATAATTTAAAATGTAAAAGTTGTATAATAATTGTGAATCATCACCACAAACAAAATGGATAACATTTTATTCACTTTCAATATATTTTCTTATTTTTCTGTTTGTTTGTGTAGTGTGTCCCTGACTTTGGTTCCACCTGCATACAACTCTTTCTTATCTTAAGGTACTTGGCATTATATATGAGTAGTAGTATTTGTGTGCTGTTTTGTATGTATGCGTTCTGTTGTGTCCTTTTTCACTCAGTAGAAAGCTTTTGAGATACATCAATATTTTGGTTTTTATTTTTTACTGGTTAGTATTCTGTATGCATAATTTATCAATTTACCTGTGGATTGATAATTGGATTGTTTCCAGTTTTTAACTCTTGCAAGTAAGTTTGTGAATTAAACCACGATGAGCATTTATGCACATACCTTGTGTGGTAGGGATGGCGTTGTGGCACAGAGAGTTAAACTGCCACTGGCCAGACCAATATCACATGGGAACTCTGGTTCGAGTCCCGGGTGCTCTACCTTCAATTCAGCCTCCTGCTAATGCACATGGAAAAGCAGTGAAGGATGGTTAATGTGCTTGGGGCTTTGCCAACATGTGGGAGACCCAGATGGAACTCCATGTCTGCGGTCATTGTGACCATTTGGGGATTGAACCAGTGGATGAAAAATCCTTCTCTCTACCTCTTCTTATTGCTCTCTGTTATTTTGCCTTTCAAAAATATTTATTGGAAAGTCAGCTACACAGAGAGGAGAGGCAGAGAGGAAGGTCTTCCATCCATTGGTTCACTCCCCAAGTGGCCTCAATGGCCAGAGCTGAGCCGATCCGAAGCCAGGAGCCTGGAGCCTCTTCTGGGTATCCCACACAGGTGAAGGTTCTCAAGGCCTTGGACTGTCCTTGACTTGTTTTTCCAGGTCACAGGCAGGGAGCTGGATGGGAAGCAGGGCTGCTAGGAAACAAACAGGCACCCATATGGTATCCTGGCACATGCAAGGACTTTAGCTGCTAGGCTACCACACTGGGTCCCAAATAAATAAATCTTTATAAAAATCTCTTGTGTAGATGTATATTTTATCTCTTAGATATGTGTTATTGGAATATGTGCTATGTAGCAAGAATGTATTATATATATTTTTAAATTGACAAAAGGTTTCTAGTTGTAATATAATTTGCATTTCAACTACTAACATATGTGTATCCAAGTTTTAAAAATTTTAATCCATGATTATTGGTGTGCAATCTCACTGTTCTTAATATTTCCTTATGGTTATTAATATTGAACATCTTTCCATGTCTCTACTGATCATTTGAATATCTTTTCTTTTGAGATTTTGTTAAAGCCATTTGCTGAGTATTTAACAACGAGTTTTTCAAAAATTTCTTTTTATTATTATCATTTTATGATATAGTTCCATAAGCCCTGGAATTTCCCTTATCCTTTCCCCAATTCCCTCCCCCCACCCACTGACTTCTTCTATATTATTACTATAGTATAGTTCTCCATAAACAGTCATGTGTCCATCACTGCAGGCATGGACAATGGCAGAGGGTCCAGCAACCTGTTGTCAAGATATAGTTAACAGTTTCATTGGGGGGTCCATCTTTAGTCTGGAAGTAGAGATGCATACTGCATTGTATCCTCACATCTGGATATGATAGTCTCCATTACACAATTACTATATATCTCCTTAAATGAAAAACCACAATACAAAATCAACAACAGGCAGAAAAATAGAAATTTACAATGCCATAAGGTCAAATTATATGCTGCTAGATATGATAGTCTCCATTACGCAGTTGTATATCCTATATGATAATATTTTATTAGGTATATGTAGTATAAATATCCACTCCAATTATTTTTCAAAAAAAACTTACTCACTTATTTCTTTGAAAGGTGAAGTGACAGATAGGGAGACAAAGATCTTTAACCCCCTGGTTCACTCCCCAACTGGCTACAAGTGGTAGGCCAGTCTGAATCCAGGAGCCTGGAACTCCATGTGCGGCTCCCCCATGGGTGATAGGGGCTGTTCCTTGCTGAACTAGCAGCTTTTACTTCCCATATTTTGATGCTCTGTTGTAGGAAGTATATATATTAAGGATTAAGCACATACTACTTTTATTATTATGTCTTCTTGGAGAATTGATTGATGATATGATATGTATTGCCCATATTATCCCTGGTAATTTTCCTTTCTCTGAAGTCTTCTCAGTCCCAAATTAATAAATGATTCCCATTTCTTTTACCATTGTCATGACACATATTCTTTATCCTTTAATTTTTAAAATGTGCTTTTTATACTTAAAAATTTCTTGGAAGACATATATTTGGATCTTGCTTTATTTTTTTTTAAAGATTTGTTTTGTTTGAAAGGCAAATCTACATCTAGAATTAGAGACACAGAGAGAAAGATCTTCCATTTGCTGTTTCACTCCCCAAATTGCTGCCACAGCCAGAGCTGAGCCCATTTGAGGCCAGAAGCCAGGCGTTTCCTCTGGGTCTCTCTCCTGGGTACAGAGTTCCAAGGCCTTGGTCTTTCCTTTGCTGCTTTCCCAGGCCATAAGCAGGGAATTGGATGGGAAGTGGAGCAGCTGGGACATGAGCCAGCAACCATATGGGAGGCTGGCACTTAGAGGTTGAGGATTAGTCTGTTGAGCCATGGCACAAGCCTCATGGGTCCTGCTTCTTGATCTACTGTGGCAGGATTTTAAAATTGTTATATTTAGACAACTGATGCTCAAAATACTTTCTGACATAGCTGAGTGAATATTTACCATAGTTCTCAAATTTTTGTTGTTTTTTTTTATTCTTATATGTAGAATGATATTTACTTAAAAGGCAGAATCACACACACACACATGCAGACAGAGAGAGAACGGTCTTCCATTGACTGGTTCACTGCTCAAATACTTACAACATCAGGGCTGGGTCAGGCCAAAGCTAGGAGACTAGATATCAATCCAAGAAGGCTGTGTGGATGGCAGGGTTCTAAGTACTTCAGCCATCATCTGCTGCTTCTCAGGGTGTTTATTACCAGCAAACTGAATTGGCAGCAGAGTCATAACTGAAACTGGACATCCCATTAGGGGACATAGGCATTCCAAGCTTATGTGTCTTTATCAGTATGCCAAATGTCTCTTCTTGTTTCTAAAATTTTCGAGAAGTTCTATTTGTTCATCTCTATGAGGTGTCTGCTATTTGACTAAATATCTTTATTTAGAAAGTGCATTCTGGAGAGGGGTATATGATCAGAGCTTCCTAGGTGGGATACCTATATTGGCCCCATTCTCCTGCTTAGAGAGATGGGGTAGGGGTGGTGTGGAGACAGGGTTGGCTTTTTAAAAAATGACAATTTATTTATTTATTGGAACGGCAGAAGGAGAAAAAGAGAGAGAGACATGGAGACATATAAATCTTTCATTTACTGTTTTGTTCCTCAAATGACACACTGACTAGGGATGGGCTAGTCCAAAGCCAGCAGACTAGAACTCCATCAGGGTCTCCCATATGGGTGGTAGGGGTCCACGTATTTGGGTCATCTTTGCTGGCTTCTCAGGTTCATTAACAGAGTGGTGGATCAGAAGAGCAGCATTGGGACTTGAGCCCGCGATCATATGGGATGCTTACATTCATACGTGTTGCAGAAGTGTAAGCCTGCTCTGTCACAACATCAGTCCTGGCTTTCCTTTTTGAAAATACTTACCAAGGAGAGTACCTCATAATAAGAAACTGACTAATAGACTTTGAATATAATCTTTAAGATAGCAACATGACTTTTCTTTCTAGCGGAATAACTTCTAACTATACTTTTGCTATGACTTTTTTTGTATTTTTGTTTGTGATGAATGATTGTCACATTGAATAGATCAGAGTAGAAACAGTGGCTTCTACTCTACTGGAGTTCATAACACTGATTCCCTTTGTTCTCTAAATACTTTGTAGTTTCAAGTGATTCATGTATACAGCATGGAAAGCAGATGATGCAGAACACTTCAACTCCTTCCCCAGAAGGTAAAGTACTTCCTTATGCAGTGGCTGATGTTGTGGGGAGGGAGCGTTGAATTTTGCTAAAGCATTAGCTGAAGGCCACTCTGGCAAGTGAAGCATTTGGTGATCTGAATATGATGCCAGGAGGCATCTAAGTGACTCAGTCTTAGGTTGTTCTCCAAAGAAGCCACATGGTTCCTGGCATCTTAAGCTTTGCCAAATTGGAGTGGTGCAAATAGTGTAAATTTAATTGCATCTCAGACCTGCATTGAAATCTTACCTTTTTCTTCCTCTAATTATATCATCTTAAATTAGCCATGAAATGCAAGCGCTGGGATATTGCAGGAGAGATAGGTGACATGAAACAGGCACAGAGAGATAGTAAATGCAGAGTTTAGCAAAGAAAAGCATTATCCATGTGAAAAGTTCCCTCATGATTATGCTAAAGTGATGACATCACTGACACTCACCTTTGTTGCAAACGAGCTGTATCAGAGGTAAGTGCTCCAGCCATCTCTCTGCAAAACTGACCTCAGTGGACACATTATATCTGTCTGTGGGAAGTGTGAGCTTCTGTGAGGAGTTTTCAAAAAGCTCAGATAAAATACGGTATAAAAGCTATGCATGGATTTCAGCATTTTTAATCCCAAACTAAATTTATCTTTTGTTCTTTTCTATAAACTTTCTGAAATACCCTCATATGTTAGATGGTGCTTATTGTTTCAGAGGTTAATTTTTATTTCAAAAGGTGGATTTCACTATGTTTTTTTATTTAATCCTGGTAACTAGATTTCAAGAGCAGAAACAAAATCTGTGATTGAAGTTCACAGCTGCACTGTCTGGAAACGTGTGTGACTGCACAGGCAGGAAGATAGATGCATCCAGAGGCCGCACTGGATACTGTCACACGTTCACAGTAGAGTCCTTCTGTAGAACAACTCCAAATGAAAACAGATCTTGTGTTTTATTTTATGCTTTTAAATTTATACATTATTTCTGTTTATAGAAATAAAATTGTATAAAGCATTTCTTATCACTGTCATTATTTTTAATTTTTATGGAGTTGCTAACCTGGCAAAATTAGAGATTATTTTAAGAACTGCTGATTTTACTGATTTTGTGACATCTAAATTTAAAAAAAAATAAGAAAAATCTCAAATATTTCAACCTGAATTTAAACTTAGTTACTTTTAATGAAAGTACATATACTTTCCACACTTATGTTTGCCTCAAAAGCTACTTCAGGGTCAGGCATTTGTAATCATGATTTTGCTGAAAGTTTTTGCACTCACCAAAATTCAGAAAGGAGATCATTACATTATTATTCATTCTACTTTACACTTAAGAGTATGAAATATAGACTAGATAAATCTGATAGTGTCTGTCATTAGAAATTGGATTTATGGAATGCCTTTGTTCTGCTAAAACAAAAAGTGGAGTTCTGTTTTCTGTTTATTACTATATAGCTCCTGAATTGATTTCAGTATATGCTATAATATTTATTGTTTTTGTAATGATCTAGGGAAGAGTGCTTAACGTTTGGATTACTTTTAACATGTTAAATATATTTTGCTAATGTGAATTTCTTATGTAAGTACAACTTCATTTACCATGTTGTGGATGACGTTCACATGTGAAGTCCCTCATCTAGCTTGTCTTTGTCATTCTCCTTTCATGTGTGTCCAGTCAACACCTCACTGCCCGTGCTGATGGGTGCAAAGGCTGTGCTCTGCTGCCCTGCTCGCCCATTGACAAATGTGTTGGTAATCACATGGAAAATAACCCTGAGACACAGGCCCACCTGCACAATGGCCTACAAGAAAGAAACAAATGAGACTACAACAACCAACTGTGCTGATGAGAGAATAACCTGGACCTCCAGACCTGACCAGGATCCTACACTTCAGATTGACCCAGTGGCCCTCAGTCATGATGGGAACTACAGCTGTCAAATGGCTACTGTTGTTGGGTATTTTGAGCATAGATATCACCTCCAAGTGTTAGGTAAGGAACGGAACATCATGTATTGTGGTTTACTGATCACTAGATTTGAGAACAAAGCAAGTATCTCTGTATATTACATATTCTTGATATGTTTTTTAAATTTTTATTAATTTTTATTTTTTTAAAGATTTATTTTTATTATTTTTTTATTGGAAAGTCAAATATACAGAGAGGAGAGACAGAGAGGAAGATCTTCCGTCCAATGATTCACTCCCCAAGTGAGCGCAATGGCCGATGCTATGCTGATCCGAAGCCAGGAGCCTCTTCTGGGTCTCCCACACGGGTGCAGGGTCCCAAAGCTTTGGGCTGTCCTTGACTGCTTTCCCGGGCCACAGGCAGGGAGCTGGAAGGGAAGCGGGTCTGCCGGGATAGAACCGGCGCACATATGGGATCCTGGGCATGCAAGGCGAGGACCTTAACCACTTGTGCCACCGCTCCGGGCCCTCTTGATATGTTTTTTGACTGTAGAATATCATGTATATTTATTTATTAAAATAAAAAACATTAATTTCTTAATGATCCTTTTACAGGATCATTAAGGGATGGAGAGTGGATCAGTGAGTGGAGAGTGAGTCACATGACCAAAGCAGGGAATAGGGCAATTGGTGCACTCCTCCTTGTTGTCTGAGTACATTAGCGTCAGGTGAGAAGGATTGGAGATGGTCCATTGGCGTTGCTCCAAGGACCTTGGGGTCGGGGAGAATCCAAGGGTATTTTTGTATAAGAGGTAACATAATGCGTTTGTTCTCAGAGGTGCTCTTTCATGTTCTCTGTACAAGTTCTCAGGCCTTTGGTTTTCCATGTCCACCCAGAGTGTCCACAGACCCAGGTGCTTGGCCTGAAGTGTTATGACACTTGTTTTTCTTTTTACTCTTTTAAAATATATACATACCTACATATATATATTTATTTATAGAGTTATTTATATTTTATTGGAAGATCAGATTTACAAGAGAGAAGGAAAGACAAAGATCTTCCATCCACTGGTTTACTCCCCAAGTGGCTGCAACTGCTGGGGGATCCCGGCACATGCAAGGCGAGAACTTTAACGACTAGGCTACCTCCCTGGGGCCCTCTTTCCTCTCATTGAAGAGTTACTTGAAATCCTCTATTGGGTTAGAGGATCTGGTTTTCTTGCCTTCCATGCACATCTTCATCTTTTCTCTGGAGATAGCAACAAGGGTTTCTAGGTCCCACAACATGTGCTGCATGGTTGTGCCATGTGCCAATGGGACGTTCCCTGAGATTAGGGTGCTGTCAGTCTAAGGTACACATGTAATTCAGGGGGCCCACTCTTGAGCAGTTAGCCCTACCCGACTCACCCCCAGCCTTGGCTCTTGTGTTCCTCAGTGGTGCTGCAGGGCACCGCTGCCTGCCCCATTTCCTGTATGCATCTTCAGGTTGAGGGTTTCCTCTAGAACCCCCACCATGTCAGTCTTAACTCCAGTTGCCATGAGTGCGAGCGCTGCAGCTCTCATGCACACCACTGGATACAGTGATCTAGTTGGGAATGTCCCCTTGAGCCCCTACTAGACCATTTCTCAGACCTAGTTCTCTTGTGTGCTAGAGGATGCATTGCCCCAATGTGCTCTGCTCCCAAGGCCCGACTCTCATGCCCCAGTGACACTCCAGTATTTTATCAGGATGGCCCTCAGACCTGGCTGTGGCACATGCTGGCAGGTGTTGAGACCTGAGCCACCTTCTCCAATCCTGGTTTTCATGTACAATAGCAGATGCATCCTGCCCCCAGTCCTGGCTCTCGTGTATAGCTGCCTGGATGGGTGGAACCATGCAGATCCTTACTAGGCCAGTTCTCAGACATGGTTCTTATGAGTGGAGGAGGTAGTTGTGGTGATATGGCCTATTCCCTCTCCCCAACTCTCAGTTATACTGATAGGTACAGCTTCCTGGCTTGGTATGTCCCCAGACCCAGCACTTGTACTCACAAACAAGTACCATGGCCTGTACAGGGTGACCCTCCAAATTCCCTACCAAGCTGGGCTCCTGATTTAGTATTTGCATGCACCAGTAGGTGTGATCCTGGCCCAACCTGCCTCCATTCTCTGATTCTACGTACCAGGCAGATGCAGTAGCCTGGCCCAGAAGATCTTCCATGTACCTCATTTGGCTCACCCCCAGGCCTAGCTCTGCTGTGTCAACAAGTATAACAACCCAGCACTGGGAAACTTTCTGGTATACCCATTATTTTGCTGACATGTGTGTGAAATGGTCTGTTCTGTGAAAACCCCTAGCAACCATTTTGTACACCTGAAGTGGCATTCAGTTGCCTCCCTTCAGGCCATCCTTAGTTTATTACACAGCTGCAGCAGGACAAGGAGCTTGGTGGCCTCCCCCCCCCCCCCATGGCTCTTACCTGGTGGCATGTGCAGACATAGTGTACTCCCCCACCCTTGCTGGCTGCCTGGCTTGTAAGATTTTTTTCTCCCCTTAAATCTCTGCAGTTCCACCCAAAGTGATCCTGTATGTCCACAAGAACAGAACCGCCGAGTGCAAGGCTGTTGCAGGGAAGCCGGCTGCAAAGGTGTTTTGGTTCCCACCAGGGGACTGTCTCACTGGGCAAGACTCCTGGGCCAATGGCACAGTGACGGTCTGGAGCACATGCAGCTGGCCGGACGGCAACGTGACTATTGTGAAGTGCTCTGTCTCCTACTTGAGCAGTGAAAAAAGTCTGTCCAAAAAACTGCTTCCTGGTTAGTAAAGCTTCTAGTTTTCCATTTGATATTTTTATTCCATCAAAGTATCCTTGAAAGGAGGGATGAAGAGTGTGTAGTTATGTCGCTCAGGGATACTTCCTTCTAGCTTATGGTTTCTCTTACTATTGCTCTCTCCAATAAAGAGCTATGTCTAGGAAAATAACGTAGAAATGTGTTACAAAAATCTTTATTTTTACATTGTACTTCAATCTACTTTTAACATTCACTTTTATGCTAGTAGTAAATTGGCTTGTGAAGTGTACTTTTTTAGTAAAATATTTATTTTATTTTAAAAGGGGGAAGAGAAAAAAAGGGGAATGGAGGGAGTGAGGGAGGGAGAGAGAGAGAGAGAGAAAGAGAGAGAAAGAGAAATCTTCCATCCATTGGTTCACTCCCAAAATGCCCCCATAACACTGTTATTTCAGGCTAGGCTAGTCCAAAACCAGGACCCTAGAACTCCATCTGGGTATCCCACTTGGGTGCAGGTATTCAAGTATGTTGGGATGTCTTCCGCTGCCTTCTCAGGTGTATTAGCAAGGAGCTGCATTGAAAATACAGTAGCTGGGACTTGTACTCTGATATGAGATGTGTATATTTTAAGTGGTAGCTTAATCTTTTGAGTCATAATGCTGGCTCAAAGAAGTATTCTTTCAAAAGAACATTTATGATTTTAATTAAAGGATAAAGTATAATTTTAAGCAGATACTTATTTTAACTAGAAGAATAAAACCACTTATAAATTGCCTTCCATGAGCTTCTAGTCTGATAAACTTTTCTTCTCTAGGTTCTTCCTGGTAGAATTTCTTAAATGGTTTATGATAACACCCATGATTCAGATCATCACTGTTTAATTCCCTCATTCCCCATTCACATTCTATACCTATTTGTTATTTTAAAATAATTAAATATTATTTTAATCAACTTGATACATAAACTTAAATTGTTTTATAACAATTGCTTGGCAGTCTTGTCACCATGTTCTCATTTAATTCTCCCAGTTAACTCTGTTTTTCTGAGTAATGTGCTCATTTGCTCTTTTTTTGTTAAATTTGGACCTTATGTTTACACCCTGAAGTAGATGAGGATTTACCATCATTCCTTTTTTCCCTTTCTCTTACCCTTCACATGCAGTAGCAGTATTTTTCATTAGAATGCATTATTTTGCATATGTGAGGCTTATTAAAACCAAATTAAAATGTTATATGTTTTGGACTTTTTGTTTTACTTTTGGTTTCCTTAGTAACGAATCTACCTGTTGTGAATGATCACTAACCCACTGCCAAAATTAGAGAATCGCTTAGTAATATTTCCCATATGGTCAGATTTATTTGATACTCTGAAAGTTCCAGTATTTTTTTTTTAAGATTTACTTTATTTTCATTACAACATCAGATATATACAGAGAGGAGGAGAGACAGAGAGGAAGATCTTCCATCCGATGGTTCACTCCCCAAGTGAGCACAACGCTCAGTGCTGCGCCAATCTGAAGCCAGGAACCAGGAGCCTCTTCTGGGTCTCCCGCACGGGTGCAGGGTCCCAAAGCTTTGGGCCATCCTCAGCTGCCTTCCCAGGCCACAAGCAAGGAGGTGGATGGAAAGTGGAGCAGTCGGGATTAGAACTGGTGCCCCTATGGGATTCCAGCATGTTCAAGGTGAGGACTTTAGCTGCTAGGCCACGCTGCCGGACCCTCCAGTATTTTTCTTGAAGAAGATATTTCTTCTTAACTTTTTACATTCTCTTGGACAACTTAGTCCTGGTTGGTGGCAGCACCTGCTGTACAACTCTTATTCTGGATCTCCTCTTTGCCTCAATCCTCTGCTTGCTCTTGTGTCTACGTATTAGTTCCTTTGTTTCCCAGATATTGTGTTTTATTCTCTTTCTTTCATATCCCAAACTTTTCTTAACTCTTCAGTAATTCTTAGGTATTGAATCAACTCAAAGTGAGCACCGAAGAGTTAATTATAAGCCTTACTCTCTCGTGGCGGGGCTTATCAATTGGTTAGCTTTAATATAGTGACAATGTGTTAATATCCATGTATATGAAGTCTTCTAAAAGTTCACCAAAAAATGTGTATTGGGAAGAACTAATGTATGCATGTCAATGTTCTCACAGTGCAGTAAATGTATCTCTTAATTACTTATTTTTGTAAATGTTTTAAAGTATTCTAGAATCGGAAGGTCTTTTCTCTGTAATTGTTCAGGTTTTGAAGAGGAAAGCTTTCCATTTCTTGCCTTAGAGGAGTAGTCCTAACTGCATTGGGGGAGGAAGTGGGGAGTCTGTGTGTGCCATCTACTTTTCTTCATTCAGGCTCTGCTTGAATTCCAGTTCCGAGCCTGGCACTTCCCCTCCACCCTCCACCATGTCTGGATCTTCAACTGTGAAATCTCTTGTTCCTCTTTTTGGGGTCAGTTTTGTTTTTGTCTGCTAGCTGAAGAAGGTGTGCTGTTTAGTGTGAGCTAGGGGACTTGTTAACCTACCCGACTTACTCAGAAGTTCTGATTTCTTACCTCCATGTCTCTGATTTTAAACCTTTTTTTTTAAAGTTTATTTTATTTTTAATTGACAAATAGTCACACATGTTAATGGGATACAAAGGAATTTTGAAACATGTATACTTCGTGGAATGATCAAATTGTTGCAATTAGCATATCTGTCACTTTAAATACCATTTCTTAGTGGAAAAACCATTTAAGATCCTTTTTTAGTCATTTCTTTTGTTTTTTTTTTTTGATTACATTGTATTATGACACATAGTTCTATAGGTACTGGGATTCCCCTCACCCCTTTTCTAACCCTCCCCTTATGGTGGATTCCTCCACCTTGTTGTGTAACCACAGTTTCAAGTTCAGTTGAGATTCCTTCATTGTAAGCATATACCAAGCATAGAGTCCAGCATCTTATTGTCCAGATAAGTTCATCGGCTTCTTATGGAGACCTTCTCTGGTCTGAAGTTAGGGCCAAAAGAGTAAAATCCCAATCAAATAAAAGTCCCATCAGCAACAATATATAACATTATGGAATTAATTGACATAGTGTTGAGTAAACAATATGTTAAAATTGCATGTAAGTTCTTAACAACATCCTGTGACTATTTCAATGACATTTTCACAATTGAGGTGCAAAACAGTTTTAGGAGGAGTGTGCAGAGAAATCTTTCATACCGTGGTGAGGAGTACTTGTTCTTTGTGTTCTACCTAGTAAGGTATGTGTGAGTCCATGCTGACCAATCTTTCCTTGTTGTTCTCTGCTTATCTATTCCAATTTGTGTGTGTATGTGAATGTGTGTATGTGTTTGTGTGTGTGTGTGTGGGTGTGTGTGTGTTTGAGGGGTGAGGGGCTCTGGGGTGACCCTAATGGTCATTGCAGCCTTTTTTAGTCATTTCAAAACACTTAATGTTTCCCACTCTGGAATTCTGTGGGCACTAAAGACTTATTCCATTTGGTAAGTCATTTGCTTTTCTATTAAATTTTTACCAAAAAAAGCAGTTGAACCTTTCATCTATTCTTGTTTTCATCCATGTTCTCTTTGTTTTTGCAAGCTAACTTTGTAATCTTTCTTAAATGATACTTCAGTAAATTTTTAAAAATGAGAAAAACACAATTCATATGTTTAAACCAGTTCTCCAATATTTGTTCCTAAGGCAATATTTTTTTTTTTTTAGCTTTAAAATCAGTCAACCAATCAATCAACAAAAAACGGGGAGGGAGAAAAAGGAGTCTAACAGAACTTACTGAATGATGTTATGTTGGTGGTGCTTGGTATTCCACTGTGCTGTATTACAGTACAGTATCTTAGTTCTAGAATCTCAGAATCAGTGGGACCAGCTAGCCTAAGCTCCCCAATGTGCAATGTCCTGTGTCTTCCTTGTATTGTGGATTGTCAGCTTCCGCTAGCTCTCATCCAAGGGAGAACTCATTTATTTGAAAGAGAGACTTTGAAAAACAATGTTATTGCTGTTTTTTTTTAACAATAAAATCATTTTTTCTTTTTCAAATAAAAAAATGACAAACTCAATACGTAAAAATGTAAGCTGTGGCTGGCATTGTGGCTTAGCATATTAAGCTTTTCTTGGTGGTGCCAACATCACAGGTTTGCGTCGTGGCTGTTCTACTTCTGATCAAGCTAATGGCCTCAGAAAGCATCAGAAATGGCCTCCAAGTGCTTGGGTCCCTACACCCTTGTGGGAAACCTGTAAGACGCTCTGGGCTGTGATAGTTGACCTGGCGCAGCCCTGGCTTTAGTGGAGATTTTGTAGTGAACCATCAAATGGAAATCTCTCTGTCTCTTCTCCTGTAAGCTTTTCAAATAAGTAAATAAGTCTTAAGAATAAAACAAAGACAAACATAAACTATTGAAGCAAAATGGAAGAACTGGATGCCAGGCTGCTCAGCTTCTGCTTTGCCATCTTGTGCTGTCCTCAACCAAATCATATTCAGGGAATTCAGACTCATGATTTGAAAATCACAGACTTGGGCTTGGTGCAGTAGCCTAGCAGCTGCTCAAGTGCTCGCCTTGCACATGCTGGGATCCCAAAATGGCACCAGTTCTAATCCTGGTGGCTCTGCTTCCCATCCATCTCCTTACTTGTGGCCTGGGAAAGCAGTCAAGGATGGCCCAAAGCCTTGGGACCCTGCACCTGCATGAGAGACCCAGAAGAAGCTCCTGGCTCCTGGCTTTGAATTGGCACAGCTCTGACCATCGTGACCACTTGGGGGGTGAATCAACAGGTGGAAGATCTCTTTCTCTCCTTCTCTCTGTATATTTGACTTTCCATAAGTAAATAAGTAAATAAATCTTAATAACAAGCAAAAAACAGAAAATCACAGCCTCTCAGAGCTAGCAAGGCCTTTGTTGACTTGTGTACTCATCAGATTTAACGCTACACTATGGCCATCGCTAAGAAATATTTCAGAGCTGCTGCTATAATTCAGTTTTTGTAGTGTCTTAACAGAAAATGACTTCAGAATTGGGGTTATTTTTCCAACCACTTTCCTTATAATAATTCGATTATTTCGGAGTGTGGAGGTGAGAAACACTATGCTCTTATTGTAATGGTGAGCCAGAAATTGCACATTGCTGGTATGGGAATTCACCACTCACAGATCCTCAAGACAGCAAGACCCAGATATAGGGGGATGTTTTGCTGCAAATTCTAGAGTCTGAATTGATAAAGAAGTCTATTTTAAAAGCTCTTTGAGCTGTTGATCAGTGCTATTTGAAATGAAATAATAGAAATGACCATAAAAATGAAATTAAATGTACTATGAGACATCATTAAACCATATATATGCATATGTGTATGAATATGTATATATAATCGGTTTTATTTTTTAGAGTGGTTTTAGATTCACAGCAAAACTGAAAACCACAGAAAATTCTCACAGAATCCTTGTTGCTGCATAGTCACAGCCTTGTCATCATGCATATATCACACTGCAATGTTTCTTTTATTAGAACTGATGAACCAATATTGACATACCATTATCACTCAAAGTCCACAGTTCAATCTTGCTGTTGTACTTTCTATGGGCTTTGATAAAGTTATAGTGACAATGTGCCCACCATTACAGCATCACACAAAATAGTGATAAAGTTCTACTATTCTAAAAATTATCTATGTTTGCCTGTTCACCCTTCTGCCCTCTAACACCTGGCAACCACTGATTGAATTTTACTCTCTCCATAGTTTTGCCTTTTGCAGAATGTCATGTGACGGGAAGCATATAGTGTGTAATCATTTCAGATTGGCTTGTCTCATGGAGCAGTGTGCAGTTAAGGCTATTTTATGTATTTTCATGGATTAATATCTATATTTGTTTTTAGTACTGAATGATATCCCATTATCTAGACATACCATGTTTGAATCATATGTTTTTGTGTCTGTAATTACAGCTGCTGAAGGAACATCAAGAGACTATTTTCTGCCTGTCATCTGCCCTATTGTTTCTTTGATCACCGTGGGTTTCATTTGGTTTTTGATCTATATCTTCAGGTACTAACTAATGAGTGGCTTTTCTTCTTCATTGTTGTGGGGATAGAGTTACAAATACTAAATTGACTGAGTTAGGATGTTAACTTCAACTCTCCTGTAATCAAAAGGAGTCTCTTGATGGTGTTGCTCTTGAACTACTCTGAAGGAGGGGAGGGATTTTTCTGGGTTTCTTGGGCATTGCTCAATGGAGCTTGTTTTATTTATTTATTTTCTTTAGAAAATGCAAATCGAAAAACCTGGAAGCTATTCCTGATGACGAGGTAAGATCAGACTAAAAGACAAAAACCAAAGAAGACTATTTTATGATTTAGCCACATAGCTTGAAAATTGTAGTTTGCATCAAGGTTAGTGTTTCAGTTGAAAAAACTAGTCAAAGTACTGATTTAATTATTGTAACAGTTGAGTGAATTTTTAAATTGTCTATCCAATTCTACTTATAGAGTATTTCAGAACCACATTTTTTTTTCTAGAACTGCATTGTAATTCATAAAATGTTTGCCTCAGCTGGGGAAACCTTGGAGAAACTGAAGTTATGTTTCCTCTGTCAGGAAATGATCTCTAATGTTTTACTTCTCTTTTACAGTGTCATCATCATTTCCCTCTTTTCCAAGCATAATACCTGTCTTGATCCTTGATCTCTTATAACTAGTGGTTGGCTGTGTCTTTGACTCTCTCCCTTGAAATACTTCTCATTTCACTTAATTCTTCTCCAGACTGACTTAGACTTAACTCGAGCTTTGCATAAAGGCTGAACTAACACCTTTTGTAAAATATTGCAACATAGGTTTTTTTTTTTATGTTTATGTGTAGGTTTAATCACTAAGTAGATACTAAAGCTGTGGGTACTTGTTCTGAAAAAATAAGTATTTTCTGTTATGATTTCTAGAATTTTCAAATTTATTTTGACTTTGAATTATTTTTCAGAATGAACTGCAGCCTTATGCCAGCTACACAGAGAAGAACAATCCGCTCTATGATACTGTAAAGACGAAGATGCCTTAGGTGTTAAGAAGTGAAGTTGATGGTGTGGGTCTCTATATTTCGTAAGTTACTGGAATCAACATCAGGGAAAATGAGTCAAGATGCATTCCAATTACTCCTTTGATTTTCTTACAGTTCTAGAATGGAAGTGCTATCCTGAAATTAGATTTCAGAACAGTCCTTAGAAGAATAAGATATTCTAAAGGATTTCCATTTATATCCTAACAAAATGGAAATTTTAGAAGCTTGGCTGCTACCAACTAACTGGCTGTTCAAAGACTGACATTATTATTACAAAGAAAACGTGTGTATGATAAGATATTCAAATTGTGCAATAGAGTAAATAATGAAAACCAAGTTTCTTGAAGAAATAACTCTGTGGGATATAGCTTTTTTTGGTATTCTTTTAGGACATTTCTATGTACAGATGATTTGTCTGTCATTTATGGTATGTATGTGTGTTTTTGTGTGTGTCTATTTGCATACACACATATTTCTCTGCCAAGAGAGGCATGACAATATACTGTGATGTCAATCTATGCTGTAATACACTGATAATATGTCTTAGATATCTTTTCATGTTAGTACAAGCAGAACTACCTCATGCTTTTTATGGCTATATAAAATTCCAAGTATGGTGATGTCCTAATGTAATTGAACCCATCCCTAGAAATGGACATTTAGATTGTTTTGAATTTCGGGGTATAAACCATTCTGCTTACAGTGTTTCTTGTGGATGTGTCTTTTTGCGTGTTTTGGAGATCTGTGGCACAAAGCTTAAGTGGAATTACCCGGTCAAAGAGTGTGTATTTTTATTATCAATAGATATATCAAATTGTATCAATTTATATTCTCTCCAACAGTGGCTGAATGTGCCTCTCCCAGCACTTTGCAACATTTCTGCACCCCCAGTTCCCACTTTCTGTTCTTAATTAACCAGTTGGTAAATATGTTGTAAGAATAAAAATTACACTATTTAATAAAACTGAATTTTTCATTTTTGTTGTTTGCAAGATAAAAAATACATGTGTGAGAATGTTAGCTTTGAACTTAGGTGCCTAAAAGTGTGGATATTTAACTGCCAATGGCTTTGCAGATGTGATAAGTTGGAGTTGTGTTTTTATAGTGTCCATTCTACTGATATAATACATGTCTGTGGGCCATAGGAGCAGCCAATTATGCACTGTGAAGGAATTGGGTTTTTATTTGCTAAAAGAGTGGAGAGGAGTGATATGATTCTTTCCTCCATTTTGATGGACTAAAATATTGGTGTTATATATGGAGAGCATTTTTAATACCATGAAAAAAATTTTTAATCATGGGGGAAATCTCAGGAGCAATATCATCATTATGGAGATTAAAACAGTATCCATTCATTCTTCTGCTATGGCATCTGAGTCATTTTATTTAGTTATATTAATATATTTTCTTTCCTCTAATCATTTACGTTATTATCAACTTTATCCTAAAAGGGATTTTAGTCTGTTTCAGATCTAAATTTAATATTATCACACAGCATGATTAAACTACTTGACATGACTGAAAAAACCCAGGCATTTAAATGTCTTCATACAATATAAATATTACGAAGGCATGTTACATTATACATTTTAATCCTGTTCTTAAACTTTTATAAATGCTTCATGCATCGCTAGTTGGGAGTTGGTCCAATTCTATTCACTTAAATATCACTGAAGAATGAAACTGTTGCTTGATCATGCCCAACAGGCATGGAATGAAGAGTTAAAGCAGGAGGAACCAACGTAAGTGAGGGAAAAGTCTTAAAAACATTACACTCATTGGAATGAAGCTGAAAGTAACGAGGGAAGGAAGCAAGATTGAATGATCACAATATTAGAGCTGTCTGAGTCTTGGCCAAACTAGCTGGGGAGCAGTGATACCCTCTCAGCAGACTATGATGTGTCAAGTGATGAATCTTGGCATGGAGCCCCAGCTGAGGACCACCCAGGCAAGCACAGCCTAAGCTTAGAACATGGACTGGATTCTGAAGGCCTTACTGACTGGGAGGCCACCAGCAACTGTCCCTCTTGGGGTGAACAAGTCTTTTCTTGGCCAGAAAACTCAGTGCTCATGTTTGTCATGTCTCCCTAGTTTCAAGTCTTCTGTGACATTCCATTTTAGGTATATCTTTTATTTCAAAATATAACTATAGCTCTTTAATAAAGAAATGTAGTTAATTTTCTTGTTAGCCATTTGTAAAATTTATTTTTATTAAGCAAAATATAAACCATACATACTAATTATGATTTTTTTGGTAGATTTAGTCACAATTTTATAATCTAATTTTATAAATCTCATTTGCTATGTTTCAATTTTTCTTTTATGTACATTGCTGGATTGGTTAGTTCTGTCAATGTCAAATAATTAGAAAGTTATTACAATATACATCATCAGTAGATATATTTTATCTACAATTATGTAAAAATAGCTTTATTGATGTGTAACTTACCTATTTAAAAGTGTACAATCTGTGAAATTTTCAGAATATTTAAATGTATAGCTTATTTGGGCCAAGTTTTATACCATCAGAATAATCAAAATTAGGAACTTTCCACTACCCCTAAATATGTCCTCTTGTGCTTATGTGTAGTCGTAAAAACAAACTCTTATTGTTTCACCCTCATCTACCCAGGAAACTTGCTCTGCCTTCTGAAACGGTGTTATTTTGTATTTTGTCCTCTATTTTAATGTAGAAGTTTGATTCCTTTGGATTTTACACATAAAATTATGATCCACTTTAATTTGTATGTGGGTAAGATATGAATAGAAATTCATTTTATGCTGAACAAGTACTTACATGTATCTCGGTATCACTAAATTGTCAACCTTTTAGATCACTTGCACTGACAGGTATGATTTTTTATAAGACTTTCTGCTTTGTTTTATTTCACTGTGCATCTATTTCTATGCTAGTACCACAATATTATAGCATTAAATGTCTTCAAATTGACAACATTAGCCTTTAAACTGTTTTTTTTTTTCCCTGAAGTTTTGGAATTAGAAGACATGTTGTATTTCACCTGATCTTGGCCAAAAGGCAAAGAAGCAATAACATGTTGTATTTCCATATGGGTTTTGGAATTTGTCAATTTCTGACAAAATGTCTTCTGGGATTTTGATTGGAATGAATTGGAACATTGATCAATTTTAGGAAAATTGGCACACTAATTTTTTTTACATCACATTTTTGTTTTATTTATTTAATTAATTACATTGCATTATGTAACACAGTTTTATAGGTGCTAGGATATTACCCCACCCCTCCCCAAACCCTTCCCCCATGGTGGATTCCTCCACCTTGTTGCATTACCACAGTTCAAGATCAGTTGGGATTCTTTCATTGCGAGCATATACCAAGCATAGAGTCCAGTATCTTATTGTCCAGATAAGTTCAATGTTTCTTGGGGAGACCATGTCTGGTCTGAAGCTAGAGCCAGAAGAGTATCATCCAGATCAATTAAAAGCCCTGACATAACATCAGCAACAATTTACAATGTTATGAAATTAATTCACATAGTATTGAGTAGCCAACATGTTAAAAAAAAAAAAAGAAAAAAAATGCAAGTTCTTTACCACATCCTGTGACTCCTTCATTGACATTTCAATTTTAGCTTATACATGACCGGGTTCTATATACCTCAAAATGGCTATAGATTACTTTTCAGCTGTCTCGTGTCTATTTACATTATAGTATTTAGCATTATGTAGCGTTAAAGCATAATTTTGCTGGACTTGGCTTTTTTTTTTCGGGTAGTCTAGAGTTGCTTATAACTCTAACAGGACATATGTCAACAATTGAGGAACATAATATTTTTTAGGAGGGGTGTGCAGAGAAATCTTTAATACCCTAGTGAGGAGTAACCAATCTTTGTGTCCTACCTAGTAAGGTATAAGTGTATCCACACTGACCTTTTCTTGTCTGATTCCAAGCTTTTCTTGTTGTTCTCTATCTATTCTAGAGTGTTGTTTGTTTGTTTGTTTGTTTTGAGGGGTTTCTGGAGCTATGCTGATGGTCATTGTGAGAGAGGGGTGGGACCCAAAGTTGGAACCAAGCGAGGACCAGAGAAAGCTCTCCTCCCTAGTCCCGAAGGAAGTTTACTGTTCTTCTGTTTCTGCGGACTGCTCAAGGCTCCTGGCTGTTGTTCTGATGCCCTTGGATCCTGCGAGGAAGGATTTGGATTTCTTTCATCCCATGTGGTAGAACCAAGCGGGAGTGGATGACTTGAGTTCTTGGCCTCCGAAGGCACTCCAATTCCCCGTGGTCTCCTTGGCGGTTGGGATGTAGTCCTTGGTGCTCATACTGATGGTCCTTGGTGAGAATCCATGAGTCTTCAGAGTTGGGATACAAGCCTCCTCCTGTCCACCTGCTCCACTCTGGGGTCCCCCCCAGCTCTGTGTATATGACCTCCTATTAAGAGGTTGTCAGGACTGCTCTTAATTCCCCTTACGTGTCTTTGTAGATTAACTATAGTCTAATGCTGATTCGAGTCTGTTGTCTATGAGTTACCATTTATAATCCTGGTAGGTTATATTTCGCGTCTTCCTTACACAATCTAGGGAGATGGAAGATTTTTCTGCTCTCCCTCCCCACTATGGGGTAACATAGGGTATTAAAAGTATATTAGCTTTTACAGTTCTTTGATATAGATCATAAGCAGTCTGACTTACATTGATTGTAGGCGTATTGGTTACTTCACAGTATCATATTGCATGTGAGATAGGCTGCTTGAGGTTGAGATAATATTACATTTTACATATATTGCTTTTCAAAATTGACAACATATCATCTTAAATTAAGGCAAAGGTGATATCTAACCTTTTGGGATTGGCTCATTTCCCTTAGTATTATGGTTTCCAGTTGGGCCCATTTGGCCACAAAGTACTGCATTTTTTTTTTTTCTTAATAGCTGAGTAGTATTCCATGGAGTAAATGAACCATAGTTTTCCTATCTAGTCTTCTGCTGATGTGCATTTCGGTTGCTTCCATGTTTTTGCAATTACTGGTTGTGGCACACTAATGCTTACAGTCCCTTAGTCTACTGTTGGGCACTTGGGTTGCTTCCACCTTTTGGCTATTTTGAATAATGCTGCTATGAATGTGGGTGTACAAATAATTGTTCATGCCTCTGTTTTCAATTCTTTGGGGTATACATCCAGAGATGGATTTGCTGGATCACCAGAATGGCAATTACCAACACAGTGCCACATCCTTTCTAGAGCGATTTCATCCTTGTACAATCCCACTAGCAGAGCTTCAAGGTTTTTTTTTTGTTTTTGTAACCTTAGTGGGCATGAAATGCTCTTTTTAATTTGTAATTCTCTCATGCTTAATGATGTTGATTATCTTTCCATGTACTTATTGACTATCGGTACACAGCCTTTGAAGAAATGTCTTTTCAAGTCTTTTTCTCTTTTAAAAAAATTGTCCCTTTGGTTTTGGTCACTTTTCCAAGTAGCAGAATGTTTTAGGTTCATTCTCAAATCTGGAAGAAACTATTAATCTGGGAATTATGGTTCCTTTTAGTAGGAAATGGTATAAGAATCTACAATTTGAATCTGGATGTGCCTGATGTTCTAGAAGTGGCATTGCTTTTAGGATGAGGTTTGTCTTGGTTATTGTTTGTGTGGTGTATCTTTTTTCATTTTTTTAGTCTCTGCCTTTGTATATCCTTTGCTAAATATTTGTATAAAACATGAAAATTGTGATATTTATTGGCACATTTATATGTTTATATATTGACTTTACAAACAATACATATGTTTATTTAGAATTTTCTGTGCATGTAATATTTTCTTGCTCTCTTAAAAAGATTTGAAATTACATTTTCATTATATTGGAAATCATGTATTTCATTTCTTGAGATTATTTTTGAAATTCAACACGTGTAAAATCTAAAGCAAATTAATACAGTTCCAGTTGAGTAATTAAGTGACCTTAGAGCATTTTAAATCTGTTTCTTCTTG